TCGTGGGGTGGGCGGGTGTCATGCTGGTGTGGCTTCCCTTCTCACCCCCCTTCCCCCTCTCAACCCTCTCCCTTCTCCTTTCCTCTTTTCCTATTCCCCTTCTTTTTACCCCTTCCACACCATTTCCTCCTTTTCTATTCTCCTCCCCCCTTCCTCTCTCCCCTCCATCTCCCCCCAAGCCCCTCCCTTCCCACCCCCGTTCCGCTCTTCTTACCCCCTCCCCTCCCCATCCCCCTCTCCGCTTGATTTGGATCGTGATCCTTTACGTTTTCGCGACTCGGGTTCACGAGGCCAAGGTCGTGCGAAATTTTATGTGCTCATTAAAAAACAGTAAGTGTAGTTTGCGCTTGAGGGAGGCATGGGGTGGTGTCGTGTGGGGGTGTAAAGGGAGGGGGAAAGGAAGGGAGGGGAGGACGGTTGTCATTTCACGTCACGTTATGGCTCGTCATGTCATATCACGTCTTTTGACTAGTGTTACGGTTTTTTCTCCCATGGTGGAGATTTCGTCATGCTTGTAGAGTATTTTGTTTTTGTTTACTTTCGAGTAGGGAAATGTCTTTCATTACTCAGTGGAGATTAAATGGGGGTAAACAAGCCTTTTAATCGGGACAAGGTGCATACGTGACCCGAGAGACTGAGACGTACGCTGGATCCCCTTGCGTCAGGTTACGCCATCCGCCCCCCCGTCAGGCGTCTTGAAGAAGGGCCGAGGGGGGGGGGGGAGATCGATCAAGACTTTTTTTTTTCTTTTTAAAAGGATCTTCGCCGACTTTTGTGTTCGATTTGGTGGAGTGTCTTCGGCGGCTTCTTGAGGACGCGAGGCGGTCGTCTTGAGACGGTCATCGGTTTCCAAGGGGGGTCTCTCTCTCTCTCTTCTCTCTCTCTCTCTCTCTCCTCTCTCTCTCTCTCTCTCTCTCTCTCTCTCTCTCTCTCTCTCTCTCTCTCTCTCTCTCTCTCTTTCTTCCTTCGCTGCCATGGTGGTCGGCTTTAGGGCGTTGGGGAGTTAATGGGGAGTGCGGAGATTAGCGCGTTAAATCCCCAAATCCCTTTAATGATGCCAGGCGCACAGTGGGGATTTACATGCGTCAAGTCGTGAGGGAAAGGGAAGGAGGGGAGGGGGTTGCTGCCTTGGGCGAGGGAATGGTGGAGGGGGGGGAGAAGGGGGGATTGGAGAAGGATTAATGGTGTCGAAACGCGTGTCAATTCGTCACTCGTATCTCTGCCGCTCCCTTTCTTCCTCTTCCTTCCTCTTCCTTCCCTCCCCTTCCCTCCCTGCCCTCCTTTCCTCTCCCTCCCCTCCCGATTGCGGCGTGACTAACCCGCAAGCTATTCTCCCCCCCCCATATTTCCCCTCCCCCCTCGGCTTCCCTCAGCCTCACCTTTTCCTTCCTACCTCCTCGATCGAGAAAGGAACACGCGTATACCAGATTTACCCTCAACCTCCCTCCCCGTTTCCCCAGCCCCCCCTACCAACCTCGCTACCCCACCCTCCCTTCCTTCCTAACCCCTCCTCCCCTCCCCTTCCTTCTAACCCTCCCCTCCTCCCTTCCTTCCTAACCCTCCTTCCCTCCTCCCCTCTCCCTTCCTTCTAACCCCTCCCGTCCCTCTCCCTTCCTTCCTAACCCCCTTACCCTTGCCTTACCCACAATGCTTTAAAGTCATCCTTCCCCTCGCTTCCCTCGGGCCGCCCTTTGCGTCAGGTCGGCGTCGGGTTTATCGATTTTTGGGGCGAGAACTTCACCTGTAAATAAGTAAAGAGCTGTGACGGATGCAGGGAGGGGAGGGAGGGGGGGGGGGTCTTCGTCCTTCCCCCCCCTTTTGCGTTGCATGGGTAGGTGGCGTAGCAGCACCCCCCCCCCCTGTTCCCTGCCTCGATCCCTCTTTGCTTTCGTTTTTTGTCTCCACTGCTTTCACCTTTAGCCCTCTTCTCCCCTTTCCAGTTCATCTCGTTTTCTCTATCCCAGTTTTGTGTTTTCCTTGTTCTCATTTTTCTATCATCCCTTCCCCCTCTTCTTGTTCTGTTCTTCCCTTTCTCTCTTCGTGTCTCCGTAAACCTGTGACAGTTACCAGTTGCAGTCGCTCTTTTCATTCACCATTCTCCCTTCTCCCCCTTCTCTTCCCTCTCTCCCTTCTCCCCTTCGTTTGGCTGCCCGATGCCGCCTTGTTCTCCGCGTGAGGCGCTTTGTTTCCCCCGTCTCCTTCGCGCCTTGGACTACCTGTCGGGAGGGTTCGTGTCGGCGAGATATTAAGCGTCGGCCGCAGCATGATGCAGTGTGTCGGATGGGGGAGGGAGGGAGGGGACGATGTGGCACCCTTCCCTCCTCCTCCCTCCCCCTACCTCCCCACTCCCTGTCCTTTCTCCCTTTCCCTACTACCCCACTCCCTGCCTGCCCCCTCCCTCCAGGCCGTAAATTGGCCAGAATGTCAATATCGTGTGTTGAGGCGGCCGCCGTTTGGAGATCATGTCGGGCAGCGCCTGTCCCGGGGCGGTCACAGTGGCGCGTCGGTGAGGGACAGTTGCGGCGAAGCGGGGAGATTTGCTTGCTTTTTTCACATTAGGAACGAGATTTTTATTTACCCGATTTTTATTTACCCGCGTTTCGGGAAATCTTTTTTTCTTTTGACTGGCTGTGTGCACTGGAATGTTTTTTTTTTTCACTGGCTTTTACTGCCATGGTTGGATCGCTCACTCGCACGTGTCGGGCGGTCGGTCGGTGACGATCGCCGGCACCGCCAGACACCCCGACACCTGGCTGAGGGCGGGGCGGGCGGCGCGGCGCTAGGTGCTGCTGCGGCGATTTGCGGCGACGGGAATCCAGCAGGCGATCGAGCCGGTGTCAGGTACTCGCTGGTCTTCGGCGTGTGAGCGTAGGCCTATTTTTTTCCCTTTAGAGGGTGTTGGGGGAGGGGGGAGGTGTGTAAAAGGAGATTGAGGGTAGTGGTGGCCGCCGCCGCCGCCGCAGTGATGTTGGCGTGACAGCAGTGTTTTTACCACCTGGTGAGGGGGGGGGGGGAGTAGGCGTGGAGGAGGGTAGTTAGAGGGGGGAGGGAGGAGGAGAGGGATTCGGCTGCAGTGGGATTTACTGAGCCGACAGAGGCCGCTAGGGCGATCGATAATCCTATTTAGACGCCTAGACTGGTCTGATGTCATGCTGGGCGGCAGAAGAGGGGAGGGGGGGGCGATTCAATCTCCCTCCTGTCGATAGATAAGCCCAAGTCATCTATCGCTTTGCATGGAGTGGCGCTTGTTGGCCCTCCGACACAGGCACTGATCACGTATCGCTTCTGAATGTTATCTTGTGAAGAGGAAGGTCTGTCACGGCAATGTCTGCACGAGTTCTGGAGGCGACGAAGGGTCACTCTGGGGTTGATGTGGGGCGGGACCAGGAGCGGCTTGGTCTCCCTTACACTAGCTTAGAACCGCGATCTGTATTTTTGGCCGTAAAAGGATGAGGAAATGGGGAGACTGCGTGGATATGGGAAACGTGCGAGAGGCGATGAACTGGTTCGCGCCTGCCCCCCCCCTCTCTCTCTCTTCTCTCTCTCTCTCTCTTCTCTCTCTCTCTCTCTCTCTCTCTCTCTCTCTCTCTCTCTCTCTCTCTCTCTCTCTCTCTCTCTCTCCTCTCCTCCTCGTGCCGCCTCCACACCCTTCTCAGCGGCCCCTGGCACCATTTTTAACCCTGGCGCGATGCAAGACTTCTTTTAAAAAGTTTCCATGCCAATCATACCTTTGGTACGATTTACTTCAAGGGAGGAAAAAGCGAAAGAGAAGTGTGAAGTAGGAGAGACAAAATAAGTTGTGCGTTCGTGTCCTTCCTACGGATCACGCGCGGGCAACGGTGCACGTGCGTATATTGATCCCTGCGCGTTCATTTCCTTCCCCGTTCTCCCCTCCTCCACTTCTCTCCTCTCCTCTCCTCTCTCCTCTCTTTCTCCCTCGCTTTGCCTTCCCCTCCCCCCCTCCTCCCTCCCCCGCGAGCAGCACACCCGCTCTCGCCCGCACCCTGCCAGCGCCACGGCCGGGCTCGCGCGGCACAAAGGGCCTGCCTTCCACGTCTGCGCCGGGATGCGCCCTGTTTACGCCTTGGCTGGAGCCCCCCCCTCCCCACTCTCCGTATCCCTCTTCCCTCTCCTCTTGTTTCCCTATTTCCCCTCTACCTCTCTCCCCCCGCTTTCTTTCTATTTTCCTCTTCTTAACGCTCCTCTCCTCTCTCCTTCCTCTTCCTTGTGCTTCCGCTTTCACTCGTCAATTTCTCCCTCTCCCTAACACGCAAAAGCCTCCGCCCTGGCATTTACACGAGAGCGGAGGAAGATCTAAAATGGATGCTGGTTTGTCGACCGATTGCGGAGCGAGTATCCGATTTGCTGCGACTTCTGAGAAGTGCGGCGTCGTAGAGAGGGAGGGAGAGACGCACACGCACAGGCACACGCACACGCGAGAGGTTTCGTTCAGATGAAGTGGATAGATATTAATCCTTTTTAAACTCCTGATTGTATTAATAGCGAGTTGTGCAGCGAGGTCGTGTGTTTGCTTGGCTGCTTGCTTGCTTCGCTGCTTGCTTGCTTCGTTGGTAGTTGAGTTCTTTCTGAATATGAAGTTCTTGGACGTGTTTATGGAGATTGGGGTTTTTAAAGTCCCTCCCCCCCTCCCCAACCACCCGCCCGCGTTACGTTGGGTGAGAGGGCGCGTATGGGCGGTTGCCTCCTTGCACCGGTAAATGTAACCAGCGACCACGCCACCTGTCTGTCGGCCGTGACACTAATGAGTACTACTGTTGACTCGTTGGCTGGAGGGGGAGGGGAGGAGGGGTTAGGGAGTCAGTTCGCAGTAGGTTTTAGAATTACGAAGTTTATTGATGAAACGATTATGCTAATTATATTTAGGTTTCCAACGAGAATTCCTAAACTTGTGAATAATTGTACTTATTTACCAAACGCATTTACCCTTTAATGTGACCTCCCAACACCAAACTTGAACCCCTTTTTTTTCCTCTTTCCAGAATGTTGACCACAAGATGAAGTACAAGAGCAAGAAGGGTCAGCTGCCCTTCGTGGAGGTCAACGGCGAGGAGGTCGCTGACTCCGCCATCATCATCAAGGAGTTGGGTCAGCGGTACAACCAGGACCTGGACGCTGGACTCTCCGCCGAGCAGCGCAACGTCGCCCACGCCACCATCTCCATGATAGAGAACCACTTCGCATGGTAGGTCTCGCGAACGTTTATTTTATTATTTTTTTTAAATAACATTTTTTGGGGGGTGGATGGGCGGGTTTTTTGGGTTTAGGTGTGTATTTTTTGTATTTTATTTTAGGGGGAGGGGACTAGAGGGGTTGGGTACATGTGTGGATGTTATTTTTTCGTTTTCCTGACATGTCTTGGTATTTGTATGGGAAGTGTGGCTGGACGGTGCGGATGTGGTGTAGGTATGGGTTGTCGTACTTTAATTTGACGGCAGATTAAAGTTCGGGCGTGGCGGAATGGTGTCTTCAGATGCATCTGAGCAGAGTAGGCAGGGTTGTGGGCGTGGGTTTTAGTATCTGATCTCCGTCATTTCACCCTACATCCCACCCTATCTCCCTCCCCTTCCCTTTCGTCCGCTCTACTCCCTCTCCCTCTCTTCTCCCTCCCCTCTCCTTCCTCTTTACTCCCTCCTCTCCAGTTTCCGTATTCCCTTCCCTCCCCTTTTCTTCCCCTTCTCCCCTCGCCGCCCCTTCAGCCCCTTCCTCGCGAGTGCACCGGTGTTGTCCGAGGAACACAACGCGTCGCGGCGAAGGTAACCTCATCAGCTGTGGCTGACGGGCGGCGGTTACCATGGAAACCTGAGGAGGAACTTCTGCACCAAGCCTGTCCGCGCTGGAGGTCGACCCGCGGTGCTCTCCCGTCCTCCCTCCCCTCCCTCTCCCTCCCTAGATCCCTCTCTCCCCCTCTCTACCTCCCTTCCATCTCTCCTCCATCTCCTCCTCCCCCCTCCCTCTTTCCTTTCTTCCTTTATATCGCTGCACACTCACTCCGTCCTATTTTGTCGCCTCCCTCTCTCTCTCTCCCCTTCCCTCCCTCCCTCCCTCCCTCCCCTCCCTCCCTGCTCCTTCGTTACCGCTTGCTCTCTTCAGTTCCTCCTCCTCTTCCTCTTTCTGCTTGTCTCCGCCCGCCCGCCCGCGAACCAACGCCCATCCCCGCCCAGACTGTTCGCATTGGAAAGGGGAATGGGACAGTCCTCATCCAGAAAGCATTTTTTCTTTTTATCCAATTCTTTCACGGTTAATCTGAAATTTACTGACGTGAAGGAGGGTCTGTCGGGGAAGGTCGGGGAGTCGGGCAGCAAGTCGGGTTTTGACGGCGATGTGACAGCTCGAGGGTTTGATTTGTGATCTGCTTGTAAACCATCCTCGGCGGCGTAGGTTTCCGACACCATATGGAGAATGTAGTGTCGGGAGAGGGAGGGAGGGGAGGGGGGAGGGGCGGTCTGTGGTGAAGATGGGAGGACTGAAGAGTATGAGGAGAGGGAGGGGGGGGGGGCATTTCCTGTTTGTACCCTCCTCCCGTCCATCTCTTAGGGGGATGGAGGGGGGCCCAGGGAGAGGCTGGGGGTTGGGGGTGGGGTGTTTAGGGCAGTAGGCTCGAGTACGTCCCCACAAGCGGGTTTTCAGGAAGGGCCGTAAGGGAGGCGGGTATGAGTGATCGAAAATTAATGGTTCTGTAATTAAGCGAAAGGGGGAAGGGGGATAGGGGTAGGTGGCGGGTGGTTGAAGGGGGATAGGGGCGATATGGTGGGGGAGGGGAAAAGGGGAAAAGGAGGGGGGTGGAAGGGTAATTAGCAGACGAGGTGAAGAGTGCGTAACGGCATGAGGCAGTGCGTGAGTAGTTTTCCTGGGGAGGGGGCGAGGAGGGGGAAGGGGGAAGGAGGGAGGGGAGGGAGGGTGGCAGGGAGACGCTTGCATTTGCTCCCCTGAACGGGTTGTGACTTCTGCCTCTTCTGCTGCCGCCTTGTTGGCTCGAGGTGAAACCCGAGTGCGGGTGGAGTGGGGAGGGGGCGGGAGGGCGTGGAAGGGGGCGGTCAGAAAAGGAAGAGAATTCAAACGTGCATTTCTGATTTTTTTTTCCGTTTTGTTGGACGTACGCATTTTATTTCCTCCTCTCCCTACTACCAAACCCTCCACCGCCCTTTCACCCTCCCCTTCCCCCCATCTGCTCACGCGCACAACTCGGCGAGTGCGTGAGTGACAGTCGCATCTGGGTGTTTCCCCTCTTCCCCTGCCTCTCCCCCCCCTCCCCTCTCCTTATTGTTTTCGCGTAACACGTTCTGTGGACAAACACGTGAAGTGGCCAAGGCGAGGCGGCGACAAAGACAAAAGATGGACGAAGGGAAAGGGGAGGGGGAGGGAGTGTCCTCGTCTACCCCCCTTCCTTCCTCTCCCCTGGTCCCTCCTTCACGCATTCTCTTGTAAGATGGGAGGGAGGGAGAGAGGGAGGGAGGGGAGGGGAGACGCGGTGAAAGGTGGTTTTCTCATGATGGCTTGCACTTCCCTGTCAGTACTAGGCGGCAATGCGATAGGTTTGGGGGAAGGTGTGTTCGTTTTCTCTCGTTCGTTCGTTTCGGTTGGGGAGAGATGGAGCCGTTCTTCCTATTCAATTCCTCCTACTTTTCCTCTTGCTCCTTCTCCATTTCCTCGTCCTCCCTCTCCTTCCCCAAGTCACTACATCCCTCCCCCCCACTTTCCCCTCCCGCCCCCCTCGCCAGTTTCACTCCCTTCCCACTCCACACATTTCCACCCCCGCTGCCTCTCCCACCCTTGAGCCGAGTGCCCACCGGGCGCGGACCTCGGAATGTGGAACGCGGGAACGGAGGCCAGCGTGCCGTGAAGTGGCTTGGGGAACTGGCGTCTGTCGTGTTTGTCACCCCCTTTCTTCCTCTTCTCTCTCTCTTCCTCCTCTTCCTTCATTTCTCGTTTTCTTCACTTCACTTCACACTTTCCTTCGCCCCTTTTTGCTGTGAATGCTCCATTTTCTTCTGTCCTTTCCTTCCTCCCCTCCCCCCCCCCCCCGTCCCTTCCTTCTCCCTTCCCTCTTCACTCCTCTCCTTTTACCGATTTCTCCTGTTCGCCGTTTCCTGCGTCCCCGTGCATGGGAGCGGTTAACAGCATCATCCTTGAAAACGGCACATTTTCCATCCCCAATTTCTCCCTCCGTCTCATCTTCCAATTAGTTTTTGCCCTTTGAGCGAGCGGGGCCGCGGGGAGCCAAGCCTGCCTTCGCGTGCGCGCTCTCAACGAGCTTGGATTTGTAAATTGTCCAGTGCCTGAATTTCGTGGGGCCAGAAGAGGGGAGGAGGGAGGGCAAGGGGTGTTTTCAGGGTCAGGGGAGGTGTGAGGGAAAGGGGCGGGGCTCTCAGGGTTCTGCCGGGTGTGTGGATGTGGGTCACGATTGTAATTGGGCTCGCCTGCGGTTGCCCGTCACGAATCCTCGCCGACGCTCACGGCGGGAGGAGCTCGGGGTCGGGCGGTCGAGTCGGGACGCTGGAGGTCCGTCGCCGCCGCGTGCAGCGTCCCTTTCCAGGCTTTGGGTTTTCTTGTTCCCCTTAGTGTTAGGAAATGGGGAAAAATGTATTCGTCTCCGATTTGCATAATTTCATATTGGAAACTTGAGACCTCATAGTTTTCCAGTAGCTGCGCCCTTGTCCCTGGCGTCTGGCGGGAAAAAAATGGCCAAGAATCTGCCGCCAATGTAAACCATTTGCTTTGGAATGTTGGCCTCGTTGACGCGGCGCCCAACGTGTCGTACCGCGCTGCCCCTTCGGCCGGCCAGAGGGGACGCTCCCTGGCGCTGTTTTCCTCCTGGCTTCATGTCTCGATTGATGTCTTGGCACTCTGTGGCGGAAGCGGGAGTGCGAGGGTGGAGTCGATGCGCGTTCTATAGAATGGCATCCAAGGAGTGGCATGCAGGAATGAACGAAAGCAGTTGGGCAATAATTGTTCGTCTGTCAGCGGGGTGGAGGAGGGTACTAGCAGCGCATACGCCGGGGGTTGCCAGCTGCTCGTTTTGTTTCCCCCTTTTCTTTTCTCTCGTATTTCATCTTCCCGCTACATTTCCATCAGGGCTTCGAATCTAGCTCAAAGCGCGCACACGCGCACGCACACAAGCTTCTTACGCGCCCTCCTCTGCGTCAGGTGAAGGCACGCCGCCCGTTTTGCTCGGCTTCGGTTCAAAATGTCGGGTTTCGGGCGCGCGTCGGCGTCGGCGTGCGGCGTCTCGACCCCGTTATCTCGAACATTTTCCATGAATAGGGCAGCGGCGGGGGCTTCGGCGGGCGGCAATTCGGGCGTCGGGCGGGAGTCTGAGTATTGAGCGTTTCTAAAGTATTTCTAGTCGTGATACGGGGTCTGAGGAGGTCAAAGTGAGGTCACTGTAGTTCTTGGCGGGAACTAAGCGAGTTTTCGAGTAGCTTAAAGGCTTATTCTAAGTTGTAATTCGGATTCTTAACGAGTTCAAAGTAGGGGGAATTCTGTATTCTGTTGCGAGACCAAATACTTTTGAGGTTTTGCCCTGAACCCCATTTTAAAAATGATTCCCACAATGCGCTCGTCTTTTTCAATGAGCTATTCACGATGGAGGAAAGGGCTGGGGGGGAGAGGGGGAGAGGGAGCAAGTGTATCAAATGTGTACACTGAGATAGCGAAAAGTGGCAAAGGGGGAAAGGGATTGAAGGGAAGGAGAGGGGTAGTGGGAGGGGGGGGGTGGCCAACTACTCCGCCAGCATACTCCATCCCGCACTCGAAACGTCCCTCCTGTAGTCTTTGCGGCCATGAATGAGATGATCACGTGACTTGTCCAAGAGGAGGAGAGGGGGAGGGTGGGGGAAGGAGGCAGTCAGATAGGGGAAGGGAGGGGGAGGGAGGGATTAGGTAGGGTGGAGGGATCCGAGACACTGCCCTCAAAAATGCTAGTTTTCATGTCCCTGAATTGGACCAGAGGACAACTTGGGACATGAGGGGGGTGGGGGGTGAAAGGACAAACGGGGGGGAGGAAGGCAGGGGCTTTAGGAAGGGGTGGGGGTGAGGAGTGCGAGGGTTGGCGTGCGAGTGGGGGAGTGTGTGGGTGAGGGAGGGGGAGGGAGAGGTGGAGGGGGTGGGTTGAAGGGGGACGCGCTTTTTTTGTGGTTTTGTCCGCCTGGAATGTGCGGCTGCGGCGGCCGGCGTAGTAGTAGT